TGCATGTGCAGGTCGGGGCATGCATGTGCGGAGGAACATGGGTTCAGGGCACATGCAGGGATCTGTGCACATATTGCATTTTGGGGGTTCGAGCACACATACGTATTCACGCACACTTTGGGCACTTGGTCCAGAAAAAGTTAGCCATCACTGATATAGGCCATCCTTTAGAAATGCTTAGCATGGTATCTTAGTGAGAACTGAAAATGAGTCTGGTACTGAATTAAGCACATTCTATCCAGCCTGTAAACTTTCAGAAAACCACTAGATGGCAAGAAAGTGACACAAAAAAGCTCCTTTTTATTGCTATCTAACAGCCATCTACTGTGTATTTCTACTGCTCACATATGATGTGATTTAAATGTCTTCCTAAAAATAAAGCATTTTAAAAAGAAGGGTTTGTATTCCTTCTGTCTTAAATTCTCTGAAAGCTTCCTCCATTTCTATTTGTTGGTGGTTAACAACAAGGTATGGAGCACTGCATTTCTCAGTTGTTATTTTGACTTAACATTTATGCCTAAGCAGAACTTAGAACTCAGGCAGTAATCATCTATGGCGCAGATTTTGCAGCTAGTATGAAAAGCATTTTCATGAAAAGACATGTCCTTCCAAAGGGTGTGGCCAATGATGCAATTATAGTTAAGATGAGACATAATATTGAATTTTCATTCCTTTTTTGTCAGGATCTTGGATGTCTAAATGGAGCAAAATATACTTTTTAAGATTTCAGAAACTTAATGCATGATTTCTTTGATTCTTATTCCAGTGATACAAAAAGGGGCTTTATAACCAAAATCAGTATTTACTTTAGAGATAAAACATAATAATGGAATTGTGAATTGTATTTCTATCTTGTCATTGACCATAATACGTAATTTGTCATTGTGGTTGTGGTTATATACCAAAGAAGCAATGACTCCCTCAACCTTTATCTTAGTAGCTGTCTGTACAATCCCAGCTGTTCCTAATACTTCTTATGTAGTAGATTCATACAGCAGGAGACTTGAACTAAATTCATTAGTTTTCTTCAATGCTTGATTGCCATTAGGGGAAAGAGCCTGTTTCACTTGTTTTTACACATTCAAACACAAGATGGTGATAGAAGATCATTTTTGACAAACAGAGTTTTGGTTTTTGATTTATTTATTTTTAAGGCTGTAGTTATCAGAAGTTTGGGAGAAAAATCAATATTTTGTATATACCTTTCTATTCCAAAAAGAGTTGTAAAGAGTTAGTTGATTTAAAGGTGGTGGATTTAAAGCATAATAACTCTCATTGGTTTCAAAATTGAAAAAAATATGCATAGGATAGGATACTAATATAATATAATA